TGTAAGTTGGAGAAGATATTTCCACCGGCTTCTTCCTGTCGATCACGACATTTGATTGTGCACCTCCGTCACGAGGCACGAATGGGGGGGCCCGTGCGAAGCTCTTTGGTGCTATCAATCGAGAGATGTCTAAAGACTATTCGCAAGAAATGTGGAAATAAAGCGAATTGAGGCTTCCATGGCGAGGCGTTCATTAACAAGGAGGTGTCAAACTTCACAACAACATACTATAAGGGCAACCTTCGTAGCGTGCATAATCGTCTCCATTTCGTTACAATGAGGATGAAAATAAATCTACCCTCGGCCTTTTGAAAGGGTCACTTTCGGAAGAAGCGAGTGCATTGAGCCCAAAGACCTTGAGCAATGAAGAGTGGCGCGCGATATCATGCTATATTTGTTGGCCAACCTAGATGAAGTGGCGCCAGTATATCGAGTAAGTTCTCAACGAACTTGTTACTTACACTTATCACTATTACGCATCCAACCCCATCATGTTTCTTGTCTACACGAGGAATTTGTTAATCTATTCTCAAGGCGTCAATCAAGGCGACCTCGCCCTCATGAAGTGGATACCATTCTTAAGGAGCGGGATTTCATTTCTTGGTTCCAAAAGAAGGTACCGTCCAACTTCCCCCTTGTTTCTTGATTTCAAGTTGGTCGTTTGTGTGAATAACATAACGCTCTAGCGACTTTGCGATTGCTACGAGGATGCATCTATAAGTGTCGAATTGCGGCAGGTTGCCGATGGCTTCAACTTTAGGGTCATGTCATGTAACGTTTATGACGTTAATGGGTATCGCTTTCACACAACAAGCTACGAGCAGAGTCGGCCGCATTGAAGGACCACAAATACCGGAGTTATGACGCTCGGAACTGATGGCAAGGACTATTATGGGATACTTGAAGAAATATACGAACTCCAGTTTCGTGGAGCCAAACCTTTTAGTCCTGTCATATTCAAATGCCGGTGGTTTGATCCTGAGGTATCGAGACAGTACCCTCATCTTAGGCTAGTTGAGACTCGACAGGATTCCGTCTATGAAGGTGATGATGTATGGATTGTGGCCACACAAGCCAAGCAAGTCTATTATAGTCCATATGCTTGCCAAACCGAGGCAAACCTTAAGGGTTGGTATGTTGTTCACACAATATCGCCGCACGGTAGACTACCTCTCCCAAACGATGAAGATTACAACTTGAACCCAGAAACACATGACGGAGAGTTCTATCAACACAAAGAGGGGCTACAAGGGAGCTTTGAGATAGACTTAACCAGGCTAGTCAAAATGGAGACAGACATCGAAAGGGTTGTGGACGAGGACTCTGGAGATGAGGTGGAAAATCCAAATGACATAGTGTTCCTTGACCGATTACACTTAGGTGTTGATAGTGATGATGAAGAGGCGGATGAAGATTTGGACATGGTTGATAGCGATGACGATATGTACAATCCGACTAATCCCGATCGTGGAGATCGTTTCTAATACATGTAATATTATACATTTTTGTAATTATATTCATTTTGCATGTAATTATCTTTATTTTGCATCTCTTTCTAATTATGTATCGTTTATATATGCTAATTGTTTTGTTCTTTTTTAATGTAGGAGATGCCACCGGGAGGTCCGGTCTAGTCTCTTCACGCCTTGACCCGGGAGGAGCCGGAGGTGTCGGTTTAGCCTCCGGAGCGGTGCTTGAGGCGGAGGACCCTTGAGCGTCTCGGCGGGGATGCAACCGACTACCCTCTCGGCCGTGGAGGAGCTCATGGCCATGGAGGAGCCTCGCCGCCGCGATGGAGCATGCGGCGGATGGGGGGTCCTCCACCTCGGGGGACGAGGCGCTGCAGGGGATCCACTTCCTCTGGTGTGTCGACGGTGTACTTGCGTGGTCCCTGAAGCTCCGCGTCGACCAATACAGCTGCCCGCCCGTGATCACACCCTATGGGGATAGGTAAGTAACTTAAGATGTGCTCGAAACTTCTTCATTTGAAATGTTGAAAATCAAAATACAAACTAATACTTTTGTAATCACTTGTGCAGAGGCTGGAAACTTGTGGAGGCTGGAGCCAAGGCACACAAAGTGAATGGCATCCTAGGATGTCATGCGGGGGAGCACTACCACGGCACAGTGGAGGTGAGCCCGAACATGTTCGAGCCGGCCACTCAGTTCGACCACTACGAATTGGCCACCGATGCCATGGATCGTAGTGGCCACAGATACAGGAACAAGGCGGAGCGGGTCGTCAGGGACCTGTCGGTAAGTCTTTCAGCACACATTGTATTCTTTTAGCCTAAGATACATCGTATTCATTGGGCATTCTTCTAATAAGTAATTGATACCTTGCGCCTTTATGCAGGATTTCTTTAGAATCGAGGAGGGCAAGGAGCACAGGGCGTACCAGGTGGCGGTCGCTTCTTGTAAGAAGCGCGTCATGGACATGATTCACGACAGCGTCATCAGCACACATTTGGCACTACTGCTTGAAGGTCAAAGGCGTAGCATCAAAAAAGGACGAGGCAAGGCAGGTGGTGCTGACCAAGGAGGAGTACCTTGAGGTAAATCTGATTACATTACTATTGATTTCTTACGAGATTAAGTTTCCTTAATTTGATCTTACGATATATCGTTTGCTTGATGGCACAGGCGATTCCAAATCGGTGCAATCGGCATCCGGATGCTCGGGAGAGGATTGTGGACATGTGGCTCGGCCGAGATCTGGAAGAAGGAGCATGATGAAGCACACTTGGCGCCGTTTCTTGATGCAAGGAGTACCACACCATCAAGGCAGCCGCAACCTCTCCAATTCTCGAGAAGCTTGGGTAAGGCGAAACCATTTCTCTAACCTAACACTCAATTCTACAACAACTCTAACAATGTTATTGTCTTTCTCATGGTCGGCGTCACATGGTGGCCACCCTTGTGGTCACCTCAAGGCATATGCCTTGTCCCACTTGGGCAAGGCGACGACCGCCACCGACTGGACCCCGGAAGTCTCTGCCGAGTCATTCACCAACGCCAGCATTGCCCCTCGCATCTCTGCATACACAGAGATGGCAAGGTCAGTCCATGGGCCAGACTATGACCCGACCACCGAGGAGCGGCTTGATCCAGAGCTCGTGATGAGGGTGGGGTAAGGCAATAAGCATGGGTGGTTCTAGCTTGGCGACGGTGTCCTCAACACGACCTCTGTTCCTCCGCTGCACCAGATCCGAACAGCGAGCACGAGCTCAATGCCGGCCTTACACCAGCGCCCGACCATGGTGTCGACACTCTAGGTAAGTGTTCTCTTCCATTCCTAGTTCTTTGACTTTTACATACCTTAGCTCCGCAATCTTGAAACATTGGCGTCAAATGTTGCAGGCACAGCTGCAGGCGATGGAGGCCGAGCGGGAGCAGCAGTGGTAGAGGCTGGCAGCTTTGGAGGTCGAGCGGGAGCTCGAGCGGCAGAGGCTGGCAGCTTTAGAGGCCAGGCAAGAGCAGGATCAGCGGCAGATGGCAGAGGTGCTCTCCTATGTGCGGGGTCTTGCGATGACCCAAGGTGGAATGGTCCCACAGTTCCTGCTCGGTCAACTGCAGGCTACACCTCCACCTCAGCTTGATTCTACTCCGGTGAGTATGACAAATGTTTTAGTTTCTCTAAATGTCAAACCTAGTGAAACCTAGTAAAACCTAGTGAAACCTAGTGCTAGTGGTGATGGTGGTGGGTGGTGGTGGCGGCGTGGTTGGTGGTGGTGGCTGCGTGGTTGGTGGAGGTGGTGGCGTGGTGGTGTGGTTGTTGTTGGTGGCAGTAGTGGTGTGGTTGTGGTGGTGGCGTGGTGGTGGTGGTGGTGGCGTGGTGGTGTGCTTGTTGGTGGTGGTAGTAGTAGTGTGGTGGTGACGTGGTGGTGGTGGTGGTGTGGTGGTGGTGGTGGTGTCGCGTGGTTGGTGGTGGTGTGGTCGTGGTGGTAAAAAGTACATGTAGTGCTTGGTTATCTATTTATGTTGTCTAACACGTTCTGCATCTTCTTTGTTTGTGTAGCGTCAGTCGGCGGCGTCGAACGACCCTAACCTTCTCGTCAACTCCCCAGAATCGCACGCGGCGCCTTCTCGGCCCGGACCGTCGCCATGACCAGTTTGGCGCCTCCTATGCCTCTTGTTTATGTTGCTTGTCGAACTTTACACTTGTGGTTGTCTATGTGTCGAGATTTGTTTATGACTTCGAACTTCGAGACTTCTATGTGATGTGGATGTGAATTATGTGATGTGGATGTGGTTATTGATATGTGGATTTGCTTATTGTGATGTGGATGTCATATATATGTTTATTTGTTGACTGGAAATGCAAAAAACAAAAAAAATTAAAACTGGCTGTGGCTTTGCCGAGGGCTATGGTCATGCCCTCGGCAAAGCCGGGAATTCTGGAACACACAGAATCCCAGCTTTGTCGAGCGCATGACCATAGCCCTCGGCAAAGAGGAAGCCTTTGCCGAGAGCTGAGCCATAGCTCTCGGCAAAAAAATGTCTAAAAAAATTGTCAATATTCTTTGCCGAGAGCTATTCTGACAGACGCTCGGCAAAGTTTTTTGGAAAAAAAATTTAGAAATTCTTTGCCGAGAGCTTGCTAAGGCTCTCGGCAAAGATCAACTTTATCGTGACCTCTCGCCGCCATGGCGAAATTTTTTGCCGACGGCCGGCTAACCCTCGGCAAATCCTTTGCCGAGAGCCCGAGATGCGGCTCTCGGCAAAGTAGCCTTTGCCGTGAGGTACTGTGCCGACCGGCCTTTGCCGAGGGCAAAGGCCTCTTTGCCGAGCGTATCCGGCCCTCGGCAAAGAACCTCGTTCCAGTTGTGCTATAACCCAAATTGTTTGTACCTTGCACTCTGGCTTACTCAACATGTAGGTCCCACCATAGACAGCACTAAGTCTTGCAAAACCCTGTGTTAAATAGGATAAATTATAAATCACCTACTTATGATACCTATAAATGCTGGAAGCAGTTGAACAAAGTTATAGGTATTGACCTGTGGCAGCTCTCCTAAACCATACAAGGGATAAATATATGGTGATCCTCCTTGAAAGCGAGCCACTGATTCTGCATAAAGCTGAAATATTCTAAAATGGTGTTAGGTAATTAATGACACAAAACGGAAGTGAAGGGATAACTTAACTCCACATACATGTAAGTAATGTTAACAATAAAACAGCAACAAGGTCTTTTAGTCCAAAGAGTTGGGGTAGGCTAGAATGAAATGAGCAAAGCAACAAATAAATAAAAGGGCACAAAAGTTTTAAGGCTCCGCTCAGCTGCTTCTGCTACAATAAAATAACTGTAGCAAAAGCCTGCAACTGTAACAGCATAAGCAGCGGTCAGTGAGCCGAACACTCCCAAAGTTATTAGTAACAGTTAAAGGGTCCAGTTGGCAGCTGCTTATATAATATAATGGTTTAGGCACTTCGACTGCAATGTCTGTGTGTGCCTATCAAAGGATAACTCTGTTTTATTCAATTCTTTCAAGTATCTATTTGGTACCTCATAACTCCTCCCATGTCACATACTAGGCCTACCTGCTGTAACTATAATAATAGTAATATGTTGTTAACATAACAATATGACTTTCTTCACAATTTTCAGGTCAAACTTTTAGCTAAGTTGAGTCTAAGGTTCAAGATAGTATTTTTAGATCAGGGCACAATCAATCAAGAAGATCACTTGAAAGATAAGGTCCTAGAAATTCGGGTCAAAGCTATTTGAGCATTTCCTTCTTTCTTTTTTCTGAAAGGGCAGCAAAGAGCATTCCTGCATATATTATTAGAAGACCAAACAACAGCTCGACTCGGTGAGCTGGCACGAAACCACTACTAGAGGAGCAGCTATTAAGAAAAAAACTGCATTCAAAGCTGTTTCTTCAATATAAAAATTTCAACACAAAACCTTAATTGTGTAGGGAAATTTTTGTTATGTCATTATAAAGACTTGCCTTCATCCGTTTTACAGTGTCAATTGCAGGTTCTGTCAAGTAGCTATCATCTCTATGAAGAGCCACTGCATGCCCAATGAAGTCTATCGTGTTATCGTCCAAACCATATTTTCTGAAGAACAAATTAGAACATAGGAGTTTCAGTAAACTGAATCCTAATTGAGCACTAGAGCAGAAAATTTACTTGAAACATAGGGATAGAAAACCAGAATGCTCCTAAATAAAGAATTGTTCATAGTTACATAGCCAGTAATTGAATCGCCTTAATTCTAATGCCTCTTTACTTATGTGATCGAAGGAAGGTGTTAGTGATGATAAAAGATATATAGATAGCCAGACAGAAGTGGCCTCCTTTGCCTTTCTCAGTTGATCTGAATATTAATTATTGATGTTTATATAGATACAATTTTCTGAATCTAAATGACAAATCATAGATGTTGGTTTGCCTACCTATAGTCCCAACTCTTAAAATGGAATATCATGTTGCAGCCTTAATGGATAACAATTGTAGCTTTAGTAACTGCATTCAAATAAACAGGTAAAACTATGGAATCTCTTCATGCTTGCTCGATCACTCCAAAACTACATTTCATTTGCGCAACAGATGACCCATAATAGTATCATCAAAGGCTTCCAAACTAAACTTGGATAAAAGAAGTTACATTCCAAAAATCAAGGTTTCATGTAAATTCTTTCTACTTGAGAAAGTTGGTAACCAAGACACCAGAAATGTAACATGGAGCCACAGTAGCAAAAAGGACCAAGATCATACAGAACTCAAAATACAAATAGTATAAACAAATACTCTGTTACATCTAATCATGTAAAAATGTTAAAAGGCATAGAAGTGAAATGGGTACCCACGAGATGAGTTCTTTTGTCGTTAGTTTAGTAAGGTCATAACCCTTATGAGTACTTCGGTCATCTTCCTTGTAATCTTGGACATAAAGGAAGAATTTCCCAGCTCTTCGCTTCTCAAATAATCCCATCAGTGGAGACTTGAGAGCTTCCATATCAGTAGAAGGAACCTTGTGGATCTGGAGCCCAAGAACATAGATAAACACGTGCCCAAAAGGGTAAAAATGTTGATAAAAATGGAGTGCTTATGCATGAGGAAGGGGATTGAACCTTTCCCTTGTTGAAAACATAGCTTCCATCCACAGCTTTGAAGGACATGTACTTGGTTACACCAGTATGAATGAGCACACGGACCAAAGCACCATTTGCCATCATAAACTAGTCAAAATGGTAAAGGTATTACATGTCAGAATGTGGTTTCATACAGCAATGTGGTAAGGTATTCAACCCAATCACCACTGCTCATTGTTTTGGACGAAACAGTCTGGAGCTTTGTCATTTAATCAATATAGAAAAGAGAGTTTATGAGAACCGGAAGGGCAGGTGCCCGCCACTGCTCATTTTCCTAATACAACATTTTGTTTGACCATTCATGACGTAAATTAATGAACTTATACTAATACTTCTTTTATGTTCTGTCTTCAGTGATTAATAAACTATGATCATGTGAAGCCACATTAAAGCACATCCAAGTGTAGCATGTTTTTGTTAAATACATATATGAAAGTGCATCACACAGTCAGTTACACATGTAACTATGCTAGAAGTTCCAAGTTTACAGCCAATCTCAACAGGCATTGCATGCATGGCCATCATTGCAATTGTGTCATGGATATCTCAGTCCAATATACTATATATATATAATAAAATAATGAAAGTAGATTTCCTGAAGAAATCTAAAAAAACAAATAAAAAGTAGTAAATTGGAAAAGACCAGACCTTTGGAACCATATCGACATTGTAGTCTCTGCTAGCTCCTATGTGCGCAGGGGGTGTTTGTTCACCCTTGAACCGTTTCCAGAGCTGCAAATAGCAGTTTAATTTACAGCATAGTTTTGGACATCATCATTATGAAAACAGCAGGTAGAATCCAAAGAGGGCCTCATAAACAAGACAGGCGAAGAAGTAATCCATGTGCATGGTTTATCATCAGGTATTTGCTATATATACACAGGCGAGTCTCATGGATCGCCATCACCTAACCTCAGAGAAATGTGGGGCGAGGGGCATTCCAAAATATGGTCAACAGACAGCTCAGGCTTGCATTAATAATGGTCACCTGATTGAGATTGAGCGATGTGGAGTCTCCACCGTAGTAGTCATTCCTGTCCATGTGCAACACCTGATGACAATGACATGCAGAATTGCAAAATTAATAATGCGTTCAAATAGTGGCAGCTGAGAGTCACATGTATGTTTACCAGATCAATCAATATATATTAAGATGACCGAACTGTTTATGAGTAAGAAAGATGGTTTAATTTGGCGGTGTTATTGATCTTGTCCCGGTAAATAAATTGGTGATGGAGGGACGGCCGGAAATGATTCGGTGTCACCCTCACCCGCTTGTTTTTCTTTCTTTATTTATTTAAGAGAATTTGCATTTGAATAAAGTGTGCGATCCCGGCCGATTTTAAAAGATCATACGGAAAATGAATAAGGCTAGCCCTCCGCCTCCAGGGCGCGATCTTATCTTATTAGATAATATATATAATCCCACCGTGAACGTGGAGTGGCGACGACGGAGAGAGAGAGATGAGAGAGGAGGAGGAGCAGGAGATCGATGGAGGCGCCGCGGTAGCGTACCTTGAGGCGGTCGACAGAGAGGAGGCCGCTGAGGATGCACTCCTTGAGCCCCGTGCCCAGCACGATCACGTCGTACTCCACGTCCATGGCGGGCGGGCGGCGTCGCCGGTCGATCGAGAGATCGAGAAACGATGGAGGAAGGGAGGGAGGGGGAGGGAGAGAGAGGAAAGTGTGGATCTCCAACGGCTCGAGTCACGTACGGTCGTCAAAGAGAAAGAGGTTTGGTGGATCGAAGGCACCCAGGAAAGGCAGCAGAGCTGCAGAGGGAGGGAGTCCGCGCGGAGTGGGCGGCGGCTATTCGTCACCGTCTGTGTCACGGTAGCGCAAGAAAAATCGCCTTCCTTGGCCTCGAAGCCAATTTTCTCAGGACCTGGCACTGTGGTAACCCGTAAGACGAATTCAGATTTTTTATTATAATAAGTCGTATATATATATATATATATATATATATATATATATATATATATATATATATATATATATATATATATATATATATATGAGGTCTTGTTTAGTTCCTCTCCTAAAGTTTACTCCATATTCCATCGAATGTTTGGACACATGCATGTAGTATTAAATATAGACTAAAAAATAACTAATTGCACAGTTTACGACTAATTTGCGAGACGAATCTTTTAAACCTAATTAGTCTGTGATTTGATAATGTGGTACTACATTAACACATGTGCTAATAATGGATTAATTAGGCTTAATAAATTCGTCTCGTGAATTACCAACGATTTTATAATTTATTTTTTTATTAGTATTCGAACACCCCATACGACATTCACATATAACATTTAATATAATACCCTAACACTTTACGCCCTATATTTAAACACGACACGCGCTGCCTTGTTTGGCATCGAAGCCTATTTTCCCATGACCTGGTACCGTGGTAGGTACCCACGTGGCCACGAAGTCGCTATATGAACGAAGCTGACGGAGGAGACGTGTGAGTAGGTGACCTGGATTGAACTCATTTTTTTGTTACCACTCCCGTTGGTGTGTTCTATATTACCCATTCATAAAAGTTTGGGCACTTCAAACAAAAACCGTATTTACATCTTTATAATTTTAGCTGAATTGGCTGAGATTTGTTGAAGATGTCGTGATATAATTTCGGCTATTCGATGAAGCAAATGAATAGGAAACCGTGAACACAACTACACAAGCAACGTCTTTTTTTTGTCGTTTCTTCATTTGTTCTTAGAAAATAGGTCCATAGCAAGAGCTACCCATTTCAAGCATCCCAAACCAGTGCCTAATAAATTTTCTTGAACATAGCTTGCATAAAACATGGAAATTGATTTTTGTGAAACACAATTTGAGTATGATAGCACCAAATTGTCCAAAAAGAGCAGCCCCACTCACAACGATGTCTTTTCTATCATCATTTCTGATGTTAGTAAGCCAGTGACCACTAGCATATGAGATGTCAATCTTGGTGGTGATAACTCAGAAACAAAATATCTATGCAATGTTTGGTCGGAGCGCCACCTTTTACTTTAAAAGCCGCGTAACATAAAATTTGGCCCCTGAACTTTAATAAATATTTCCAAAACAGTGAATCACTTGGTTTAATCTGAACCTGCGGTAAGGCCGTTGAGCTCAAATACTTATTTCTGAGAAAGATTTACCATGTCCCTTCTTAGTGGACTAACTTAAATAACCATTTGCTAAGAACACATTTATTATTCATCCGGAGGCATGTAATATACCCTGATGAAAGGATCATGTGTCCTATGCATTGCCATATTTGGTTTTGGTGATTTAGATGACAGCATAAGCACTAGGACTAACATTGTAACTTGGTGAGCCGAAACACTTGAGATCTTGGCGACCTTCCGGTGAAGGCCTTAGGTAACCTTCCTGTGTCTACCCTCTGGTGAATTTGGTGTGGAGCGGTAGCGTCTTGGTATGTGGGGGATAAGGAGACCCCTTACTTGGTGGAGAAACTCCATAGTGAAGACAACGCCAAGGTGAGTGGAAGAGTAAGCCTAGGTGGCTTAATTATGGCACTTGCCTTAGTTACCAAGATCCTTGGTGGCGAGCCCAATACCATGACTGGGGAAGGCTTGGTGACCGGGAGCGTACCTTGGTGGATCTCTAACATGGATGGCATCCGATACTATGTGATAAATTGCCTCATCTCTGCGAGTTTGTCATATCTCCTATCTCTTGTTTTTTACTTGCAACTTTTATTGCTGCGGCTTTTGCTTGTGCTTTGTTTCTGTGACCTTTAAGTTCCTAGATTAGGTTAGGCTAGTTGGTAGGATTGGCTCTAGGTAACAAACCTCTTTGTGGTTTTGAGGGTAAGTTAGAGCACACAAGAAAAACCTTAGGTGCACATCATGCTATAAGTAATTTATGGTTTGATATTTTGGTTGAGCTCTAGGTTTAATGTTTTAATTAAGCATCCAATTGAACCCTACTCTCGGCACTCATATCCTTTCAATTGGTATCAGACTAGATGCTCGCACCCTTAACAAGACTAGCCATTTACTTGAGATATTTGTGAAACTAACTCATTTGAAACCATTTAGCTTCACCGTCAAGTGCGCGTACAATGTCAGCAGGTGGTATGAATACAAATAGGGCCCCACATTTTGATGACACACAATTTACTCGATGGAAGAGCTCATGGAAGCACACTTTCGCACAGGGGGGCTGATGTTTGGCATGTCACTGATGAGGGCAAGAAGAAGAATGAGATCAAAACTGAAAGACAACGGGATGCTATTGCTAAATCTACCATATTGTCCTTTGTTTGTGACAGTGTGTCCAAATGGTGTTTTTGCTTGCACAAATACACATGAGCTTTTGGAACAATATCAGTGAGAACCATGGAGACTCAAATAATGTGCAAATAAAAAAAAACATGTTCTCATTTATGTACGTATTTATATTGAGGGGTATTGTAGTTTACTTTTTATAACGTTAGAGGTGAGTACAAATTAGGAGTGTTCATTTAAATTATCTTTCATAATGGTATGCGCGGGTAATTTATTTCCAAACTTTGGGGTTAGTTTGCATTATCTTTCATAATTGCAGACATGGGCAATCTAGATACAAATGTAGAGTTTTATTTTAAATTATCTTTCTTATCGGTAATTTATATGCAATTTATGCTTTTTTCATAATGATATAGGTGGATAATTTATATGCAAATTTAGGGGTTTACTGTATGTATTTTTAGAAAATAGAATATATCCATTAGCTATTATTGGCGATGGTGATTAGATTCTATCAAATTAATGATAATATGTTTTTATTATTGTAAGATTTTTTTTAGGATTTACTTTTTTTTTCTAACATGTATTTCGTGAGATTAACATGGAGACTCATTTAGGTTCTTCAATGATATATTCTTTTTATTATTGTAAGATTTTTTAGGATTTATTTACTTGTTTTCCAGACATATCTTGTGAGAATTAACATGGAGACTCGTTTAGGTTCTTCAATTAGTAATGGTAAGATTCTGTTTTAGTAAAAGGCTTTCTATCGTTAGATGGATGACACGGTGGGTGGACATCATTTAGATCCTTCATTTAACGATGAATTAATTGTTTCATACATCATGAAGATGGGCTTTGATAAAACTGAGTGTGGTTAAATTAAATGCCATAAATGAAGTGCCCATGCCACATCGTCGATCACTTACCAAGCACAAGCAGTAATAACAAATTAATAACCACGCAGCGCCTTGCCACGCTTTGAGAGTAAATATATATGTCTTGTTTTCTCCCTTGGCAGTTCAGCTAGACACCACCAGGAGAACCATGCATGCACACAATCGAACGGTGCCATGTAACAGGGGAAGATACAATTTTTTTAACAATTTGTGAAATTGTAGAGACTTCTGGTGATAGGAAGAGGCAGCAAAGTATCCATTGTCGATGCTTGTCACAGGATCCTAGAAATGGGCAGGAGCTAAAGGTTTCATGACAAAACACAAGGACTCCGAGTATAGCAAAACGTGGCCACATTTTAATCAGCAAACTGTGTTCCAATGTACTGTTCAAGATGAATGTTTGAGGGAGAATGTCAACCTACAAGAACATTTTCATCTTCAACTGTAGTAGTTCCATTGTGCTACCCATGCTTGTCAGCACAGCATGTTTCCATATGCTTACGAGTTACACATTACCTACACAGCTAGCTGTGCAGAAAAAAATTGCATGTACATATACTTTTCTTATAAGGTTCTAAATTGACAAGAGTAGCAATTTATGGACACAAATGGCCACTTCTAAAGTCCCCATGGTACAACAAATATGTAGGGTTGAAGGCACTAGTAAGTATTGATGCCACCACAGAACACCATTGTGCCTCTAGAACATTGTAGACTCGTCTAGTATCACAAGCTTACATTACACGCCAAACAATAATAACTAGTATATGGCCTGATTCTTGAAGGGTACCATTATATATTCGACGGTAGCACCACCATCTTGCTTCACTGTATGGCACCCGCGGAGCTTGTTGACAAATATAGGAGGGCCCAAGCTATGTAAATATTTCTTTGTTTAACAAATTTGCTCCCTAAACTCACATATTCTATAGAAAGTGCACAGGTTGAGGAGGGGCCATGGCCCCCTTTGGCCTAGCTTAAGCTCCGCCCCTAGTGTATGGTAGCACCACCATCTTCCATTTACTGCCACGAGGAACAAAAGCTAGGGATAACATAAAATGGAGGAGAAAGAGCGGGTAGAAGAAGAAAATATCACAAATGTTTATGCATTGGAATCGAGGGCAAAAGGAAATATGCGACGGCAACTCTCTAGTATGAGACCTTCTAGGTTCTATCATACTAGATGGCCAGGTGACGGCGAACTGAGCCTAGCTCAGTTGGTTAGGTTCCTTGTGGTGGAACCTGCTCACCTGGGTTCAAATACTTGACTTGGCACAGGTGCTCGTATTTTCCTGGATTTATTCCATGATTTAACGGCGTTGTGCTTTCAGTGGTAGGCGATGTTCCCGTCGACAGCGAGGCATCTGTGGTGACTTCGTCAATCTCGAGATGTGCCGGCACAGTCTTTCAGAGGTGCTCGTATTGGTAGGATTTGCGTGTGTGTTCATAGGGG